TACCTAGGAATGGGATTGTTGGATCATATAGTAGCTCTATTTTTAGTTTTCTGGGAAACCTCCAAACTGTTCTCCATAGTGGTTACACTAATTTACATTCCTACCAGCAGCGTATGAGGGTTCCCTTTCCTCCACATCCTTGCCAGAAATTGTTATTGTCTGTCTTTTGGATAAAAGTCATTTCCATCTTCCTTTTAATCATTGATGCTTGTCATTGCTCTTGACAACTTTTCCACTCATAGCGAAGACAATTCACCCTGTATCCTGGCATCTCTGTCCCTTGAAGTCTTCACTTCCAATGATGTTTTCATCTACTTCATTTAATCCACCCACTTTCTCTTAGAGTCTGCCATCTCCAATAACCAAACTACCTCTAAAATCTTGATTTCGAGCCTCTCACAAAACATCAAGCCCTCTCTCTCTCTAATTCACTCACTCTAGTACCCCAGACATCAATAGTTCTTTGACTCACTGAGACCACTAGAACCTCCAGTCCATTGACCCTATCACTTTTTCACCATCCACTAGCCCTGCCCTAGCAAGTCCTCCTATCTCTCCTTGCACAGGTTAGACAGCAGTCATACTCTTGGATACTCCCCTTGACTCCATTGTTCCTCTTTCCCAGTTCTTTACCCATGCTACAGCTGTACCTGAGCACTAAATATGGCTGGAGGAAAACAAGCATGACCACAGTGCTCAAGTGGGCACTCAACATACCTAACAAGCCTCCCATGTTTATCTACTAAAGTTAACTTTCCCACTCTTGGAGTCAATTACTTTACATCTTTCTTATCCTCCAACCTCCAAAGTCACCTCCCTATAATCACTTTTTCTGTTTTGTTGGCGAATAGAAATTATCCAAGCTTGTATTTCCCTGAGCTCAGGAACATTTGTGCTGCAGAGTTGAAGGTTATGGTTCCCCAGAGGCAAGTGCCTTCTGCGATGAGTGCCCACTTTCTTGGCTTGCATTTCTGAAACTCACCGAGGGAATCATGCTAGATTTTCCCAGGACCGGAAGATGGAGAGCACTTGGAGACCTAGGGTGGAATTTGCTAACATGGGGAGACTTTAATTATCCAAGACTAAAGGGGATCTGGGGTTTGGGAATGGGTCCCAGAAGCTGGTGCTCATGTCCTCTTCCCACATAATAGCTTGTGTTGGAGAGGTGGCACAGCATTAAGAGGGAATGGCTACAGGGTCTCTGTAGGAAGGCTGGGTCTCAGGCACTAGGGCTCCCAGCCCCAGCCTGAACATTACGTTACATGGTTGCCTCGGAGCCTCCTGCCTCCAAAGAACCACATGGGTCTAGACTACAAACATCATTAGTGGCCCCCTGGACCTAAGATGAGAGGGCCCTTTTTATATGTTCTGGGCAACACAACCCCGTGATATCTCTGCTTAACCCTTCAGTGGAGTCCATATTGTGATTAATGTTGAATTTCCAGCCCAGGTTGATGGTGGTTAAGGATCAATTAAATTCTCTTTAGAGAACTAAAAAGGACATTCTTTAAACCTTATGTTGCAAAGTAAAATGCAGACCCGCTACATTTGATTCTGTACAATGCAACTCAGAGGAATAAATTTCTACCACTGACTTTCTGAAGCACATTCTTAAGCAAAATGCACAAAATGTGAATTGAATGAAAATCAGGGTGATACTATACTATCCCCAGTTTTCATGGTCATAGCTCAACATTTACAATATAAATACTTAGGCTGCCAAGTGTGATACAACAGAGGTGTCTTCTTGAATGAATGACACATCAACACTTAGAATATCACATTAAAATTCCCACACAGACCTGTAGAACCATCTGATTTTTACGGTATTAAAAAATCCCCAAGCTTTTCAAAAGGGCATTGAAAGTTAGAAAATCTCATATCTTCAAGGAATGAGTAAAGAGGCCTTGGGTGGGAAAGGAAGTGAGCAGGAATCAATTTTACTTGCTTCGGTCTCACAATGGATTTTGCAAAGTAAAGGGTAGAAAATCAATCTTGTCAAATCAGTGAGAATTTATACACTCGAAGGAGTCAAAAGGTCTTGGAGGGTATATCAGGTAGTAGCACATTCTTCTCCTTTATCACACATAGAGGCGATAGCATGAAGATTGAACCCTTTTCTATACTGAGAGGACCCTGCCAAGGATTTTGGCCATGTTTCTCATCCAGAAGAGCCCAAGACAGAACCAATCCTGAGACTGACTTCCTTAGTCTCCCAGTCCAAACACCCTGAAGGGCAGGATGGAAGCAAGACATAGGAAGCCCTGGCTGTTCCTGTTCTTTACTCACAAAAAAAAAAAAAAAAAAAAACCCTCCAGACTATGTCTAACAGAAAAAAAGGGCCACATGACACAAAACTGTGGGTGGTCTCTGGATAATAAGAACCATCTCGGCTGACAACTAGCAGGAAAAGAGACCTCAGTCCTACAACTGCAAGGAACTGAATTCTGCCAACAACCAGTGAGCTCAGAAGACCTCTGAGCCCCAACACTTTGATTGCAGCTGTGTGAGACCTCCGCAAAGCCGAGAATGCGGCCACCCCATCCCTGAAATTCTGACCTACAGAAATTATGAGATAATCAATTGGCATTATTTCACCACCTACTGACTATGTTAAGTTCCTTAAACCCTCTGTACCCCAATCTATAAAATCAGAATAAGAACTGTAAGGGTTTGAGGGAAGGTTTATAAATCATGAATGCATCATGCCTGGCTTTCAGCAAGCCCTCTAGAATGGGAGCTATTATTTAGTTGGTTTTGATGCTGGCCTGGTCTGAGGCTGAAGCCCTAATGCTGGGCTTTTATCATATTATGAAGGTGGAAACCTCATGCTCCAGAGTACACAGCTGAGCACATCTTAGACCCTCATTTCTGAGCCCCTAATGTCTACTTAATGGCTGGCCACTGCGACCTGGTACATGGAGTATCAGCCCATGTCAATTAGCCCCATTACAAACCCTGAAGAAATAAGCCATCCTTTCCTGGTCCCTTCCTCTTGCCTTCCTCTTTCATCGTGACATGAATTGTGCTAGCGATGGGCACCAAGTAGCCAGCATGTGTACTGAATAAAAGCAAGTAATATGTAGTACAATGACAATGAGATTGGTTGACAATAAATGTGTTGTTTGCAATCTAAAAACAGACAAAATGATCATTTAAAAAAGATGGGTTCATGAGTTTATGTCCATCATTCATAAAGGTAGGGTCTATTCAATGCCACTTAACCAGCTTTGATGATAGAATGTATGAGGTTTTGCCAGGTTGAAATGATAAAGCATTCAAAGGTATATGCCACTTATAAATATAACCACATCTAGACTCATAACAGATTCTGTATTTAAATATAATATTCTTTTTGAGCATGGCTAAGTGAAGTCTTTTGAAATTTTCCTAAATTGCCATGAGTGAAGTGGTAATGGTATTTTTCCCATCTGTAGGGATGACCATCTATTATATGGACTTGCAAATTGATTGTCTGGACTATCTAAGAAGAAAAAAATGCTGTTCTAATAATTGTTACAGTTCTGGGTTAAACTCAGTGGATTTGACTGAGGGAAGATTAACATAAGCAAGCGTCTGATACATTTTATGAGAAACCATGTTATTTTCTAAACTGGTGCTTTCAAAAAGAAAACCATAGCAAAATGTCTACAGCTCCTCACCCCTTAGCAAATGACTCTGACCAGAGTATAACATCCAAGAAATCAAGTATCTTTACCTGTCTTGTTCCTTACCACCCTGCTGCCTAGAATAGTGCCTGGTACAGACATGGGAGTTCATCACATATTTTCTAAGCAAATGAACTAAAAGAATTTCCTAGTGGCAGGATGTTGATGTTAATTAATGGCATAAATCCTAAGCAATACATGTAAACATGATCAGGTGAAGAATTTTTTAAAAGTAGGAGGTGAAGTTCTGTAAAAAAGTAGGAGGTAAAGTTCTGTAGTCACATTTGAATTATTGTGTACATAGGAAGAGAAGGAAACCCGGTGTCAGTGGAATCTATCACTACAAAGTTTTCATTCTTGAACGGAAATTTCCAGAGCTTATGTTGTAAACCATTTTATGATGGGTCATTTATGAGGAGCAAACCTTTCGCTTAAGTGACTATGTGACAACAGTGCCATCTGCTGGGAAACTAGCTGTGCATTTTAGACTAATTCTGGAGTCTTTCATACAGCAAATTGAATTTTAAATTACAGAAAAACTATATTGGAAATAGATTTAGAGATCATCTAGACCATATGTAATCTTACAGGTAAGGATTTGACATAAGGAGTTACAATACTTTCTTTCTTTCGATTGATGCAGTGGAGCCCCAAATTCATCTCTCAGAGAAGTAACTGAAACTACAGCCATCATTACTAAATTATATCACAGTGTTCCTGTAAATCTGAAACTGAAAGGCAGTAAAAAAATCCATTCATCGTGCCTCCAAAGAACACTGTTCAATAGAAATCTGTTCAATGATGGAGCAATGGAACTTTCTTCCGCAATCTGTACCTGCACTGTTCAATACAGTAGCCACTACATTTGTGCATATTTTGCACGTGAAATGTGGCTAATGACACCGAGAAACTGGATTTTAAATTTTACCTAATTTTAATTAATTTATGTTTTTAAATAGGCACATGGCTACAGCAGTGTTTCTCAACCTGAGCACTACAGTATTAACATTTTGGACTGGAAAGTTCTTTGTGGTGGGGCTGTCCTATACATTCTAAGAGGCTTAGCAGCATTCCAGACCTCTACTCACTAGATGCCTGTAGCACCCCCTTCCCTCAGTTGTGACAAACAAAATGTCTCCAGGTATTGAACATCCCTGGGTAACAAAATTAACCCCAGTGGAGAACCACCAAACTAGTGGCTACTGTATTAAGCAGCAAGATTCGAGAATATGCTTAATATATATAGTGTTTTGGTTGAAAAAAAGAACTGGCCCCCATACTATGCTAGGACAGTAGTGGTTCTGTCCTAAGAACAGGGAAGGTTAAAACAAATTAGACAAGCCAAGAAATACATTTCTTTATTCTCATTCCCATAGAGCAGAGATGGAACAAGGATAGTGATGCTGGAAAATCCTGCCTCGATCAAATCATCACCTAAGTTAACATCAGAAAACCTGTATTTGAATCTGACCCCTCTATCCTTGCTCTGGAAAACTGAACATCTTGACCCAGTTGCTGTGAGGGCTAAATTAGATGATGCAGAATGTGCTTGGCATGCAGTAGATATGCAAAACAATAACTTATGACACTCTCCAAGCAGGGAAAAAAGTCTTCAGGCCTTCTAACTAATAGTAGAAACGTATGCAGTGTGTTTCAACTCTGGCCTCAGAGTTTAACAAATACAAATTGAATCAAAAAAATTAGTCAAACTCTATAAACAAGTTTATAACAAATACAAATCTAATCGAAAAAAACTAGTCAAACTCTATAAACCCAACTTGATTTTAAAATTCTAGTGGCTACAACACTCAATAATGTTTTCACGTCGTTTGTGAATCCATTCCCTCGATGCATTTAAAGATGTAGGAGAAACTGTTTCAGATCCTCTGGGAGGACGAGTTTGGTTATCTTATGATGCTGCTGGATTCCAAAGCACTTCCGAATTCTAAGGCGGCATAACTGCATCAAAGAAGGGGGCCCTGGAGAAAGATCATAAGACAAGTCACACAGCGGTGTTATTGATCTAAGACTTCTTTTTTTTAAAAAAAAAAAAGCATACAAGATAGAATATTGTTACAAGGAAATAATATTGAACTACTTAAGATCATTTTCTGGGATTTTTTTGTAGAAGGCATTTTTAGTCTATGTTCTTTCTTTTCTGGTAGCTAATTGAAATAAGCTTGTTACGTTTTAATTTAGAGCAGAGTGAAAGAAATTTAAAGCTTAGCCTCACTAATGGAGGCTTAAGTAAGCTAACTTGGGAATTACACAGCTCACAAAAATTCCAATAATAAAAATAAAGTTATGTTTAATGGTATTGTTATCTTTTACCTTTAAAAATAAGGGCGTATTTCTAGATGCAAACATTTTTATAACTTGAGCAATTTAAGGTATTCAAATATAATGAGCTCACAGTGAATCCTAAGAGTATGTTAAGTCATGTTTGTTTTTATATTCTGTATTCAGAGCTATTCCAATGCTTCAATTCACAGGTGAAAAGTCAACTAGCTAGCACAAACCCTGCTTAGGGAACACTCAACAGTTTACATTTTAGGACAGTGGTTCACAACTGGGAGGCAGCTCAGGGAAGGAAAGGAGGAGATCATTTTGCTCTTCAGGGGACATTTGGCAGTATCTGGAGACATTTTTGGTTGCCAAAACTTGAGGAAAGGTGCTACTGGCATCTAATGGGAGAGGCCAATGATGCTTCTAAACATCCCCAAGTACACAGGACAGCCCCCAACTGATCCAAAATGTCAACAGCGTCAAGGTTGAGAAACTCCGTTATAGGGCAAAAGGATGGGGAATGATTTTCCATGCCCACTTCCCCCCAGCCCGCCCCCGTTCCTGCATCAAATTGTAATGGGAATCTTCTTCTGGTTATTTTTTTAAAAGCAAAACTATATACCCTCAAGAACTCCATAAAGCCATAGCCCTCAATCCAGGTAGCACTTCAGACTCACCTGGGGTGGGGGCACATTCAACCATATGGACGCTGAGTCCCCCCAACCAGAGATGTTGCTTCAATTATTGTTGGGTGAAGCCCAAGCATCCGGATTTTCTAAAGGCAGTTACCCAAGGTCATCTGAGTGTGCGGTCAGGGTTGAGAATACAGCTAAAAGGATACTGTGGTGTCTATTTTCCTATAGCATCACCACCAACTACAGGATCAACTAAGTTAACTTATCTCTCAAGGTGATGGAGAACAAGGAGAGATGGAACTCGACACATATACAATCAAAAAAATACTTGCAGTATTTTAAACCAGGCCCTAACAGAAGGGCCCTGTTGGAGTAAGGCACCTATGAGATTATGCCCAGTATACTCAAAGCATATAATAATGAATGGCTTCCCAGTGTTTTCAAGGCATATATATTAACGAGCAGCAAAAACCACACTGTGGGGAAACTGAACCTAATCTAACCTCACTAAGGAATGTTGAAAGATGTGACTGATCATCTGTGCTAGAAACGCTGTCAGAGGCAACCGTAGGAGGTACTGATAAAGCATTACAAATAACCAGATCTCAGAGCAGACCTGATAGAGAATTAAGAAAAGCAGGATGTCACAGGAAACTCAGTGTATTAATAACTACTGATGCCAACTGAATGCTGCTAACTGTTTACTACAAGAAAGACAATGTAAAACAACTGTAGCTTCAAGTCCATAGACACAGAGCTGAAAACCCACTACAGATTTGCACTCACTCGCTGGCACCTGCAAACATTCAAGGGGTTTGCTTTGCTCGATAATAAAACCAGCTAATTGTATATTTATGAATCATCATATTCCTTTGGGCCTTAATTTCTTTTTTCCCCCAGCAACAACCATTGATGTTTTTTGTTTTTGTTTTTGAGACGGAGTCTCGCTGTGTCGCCCAGGCTGGAGTGCAGTGGCATGATCTCGGTTCACTGCAAGCTCCACCTCCCAGGTTCACACCTTTCTCCTGCCTCAGTCTCCTGAGTACCTGGGACTACAGGCGCCCACCACCACACCCGGCTAATTTTTTTTGTATTTTTACTAGAAACGGAGTTTCACCGTGTTAGCCAGGATGGTCTCTATCTCCTGACCTCGTGATGCACCCACCTCGGCCTCCCAAAGTGCGGAGATTACAGGCATGAGCGAGCCACCGCGCCCGGCCAGCAACCACCACTGATGTTTTAAAGCCAAAGTGTACTGGGTGAGGGGGATGGGGGCTGCGGTCGTGCTGGGCTGACAGTCATTTCTAGGTTTTAATTGAGCAAACACTGCCTTAGATGCTTATCAAGGGTGAGGTAGTAATATTCTTGAAATCTTTTCCCTTTTCTCAGAAAAAGGGAAAATCTTACCTTTCCTAACACCCACGCAAAGCCCAAATTCAGAACATGGTTGGGTTTTACCAACATTCTCATGTTGCCATTCCATTGAAAGAGGACAGTAATGGCATAAATTCCCTTTCCCCAGGAAAGAGAGAAACAGGCAGACTGAAGCAAATGAATTTAGGGGCACCCAGAGACAGAAACTGCAGTGAGCAATCCACAGGTCTAGTTTTCTGCACTTGCCTGGCCCCATTTCCTGTGGGCTCCAAGCCCTCTGAGAGGTGACTATACCAAAACCCCAAAAGTGACTCATGGAGGCAAAACAAGTGGTGATTCTCTCCAGCAGCAAATGACATCTCATAAACTAGTGGGATCACTGGCCACACTGTCACCATGCAAAACATAAATTCAAAATGAAAGTAATTACTGTCTCTAGGAAAGGCTTTGGGAAACGAAGCAGAAGGGAAAAGCCAGGGGAGGCGATCTGCGAATGCTATGAGGTTGTTTGATGGAGGAGGGGACATATACCTCCCACATTAACATATGCCCTACATTATGACTGAGGGGGACCTGAGGCACTTTTGTCTTTGTGAATCCCTTTCTCAATTAAAACAATTAAACATTCTATTTCACAACTGTGTTGGTATAAAGATGATTACAATCCACATTGTTCTATTCATTTTTTATTCTGATTTTTTAAAAATTAAGGTGTTTTTATGGGCCTTGTAGACACACAACTTTTTCAAAACAAGTAATTATTAAAATGCAGATAGAACTGTTCCGTGATCATCCCACTGCTTAACTGAAAGGGGCCTCTACTGGACTGTTCCTTGTGCCTGGAGTCAGTCTTTTCTGCCTGCCCAGCCCTGCTCTGGAGCATAGGCCTTGTTCGGCATGTCCCTAGGCAGGGACTTGACTGCAAGCACCCTGGGGCAGTGAGAGTAGGAGGAAGAAGGATTCCTTAGCCCACTGTACAGTTCTGCCCAAGGCCAACCCTACTGCTCATCATGTGGGGAGAAAGTAACTAGATTGTATAACATCAGAATCCTTCTGGTAGGAAGGCCTGCTTCAAAGTCCCAGAATCTCTAAGAGTTCAGAGTCCACACTCCAGTAAGAAAAGAAGCACTGAGCTGATTGCTCAACTGCCTCTGAGCCCATGAAGATTGCAACAGGGTGGCTCCCCAACTTGAGGTGTCTCTGTTCCCCAGCCCAGCCCAGGCCTCAAAGCCCTACTTCCATACACACCGCTCAACCACAATATTTCACTGTTTGAGTTGGGAGTCTCAGTTCTTACTTGTAGAGAAGTGTGGACTTCTCATTGGCTAATTTATAGTAGTAAACGTCTTTGGATTGGTGTGAACCCTAAACTCTTAAAGAGCTGCATTTTAAGCCCAGAAACCAAGTGTCCAGTAGTCTGGTCCATCTGTGGTGCAGCAAGATATCCTGGGGCCTCATGCAACCCCAGAGAGTCCTCTGCTGCCTCATTCTAAAGCATGTTTTAAATAAATGTAATACTAAAATTTTAAAACAGTATCTTAATTTTTAAAAAACTGGCCTACCCCATAATGAATATTCGATCATCCCCAAAATCTGTATCCAATATGCTAAATAGCAGGAGTTAGTTACTGTACTGTGACCAGTACTGTATCTCATTGAATATTGAATTATCTCAACTTCCCCAGACTTGGTGATGGCAGAGAATGATCTTTGTATAGGATTGGGAGCCAGAAATAGCCAAATACCTGCCTTTCACTAGAGCCTCAAGGGGTGTCAACAGATTAGGGCTTAGGTTTTGGCAAAGAAGCACCTTCTCTCTCCAAGAAGAGCCGGGCCAAAGGGCTGTCTGGAGGCACCAGCTCCACAGGACGTTTGCCTTCAGCATTCTTGGCCTGGGTGTCTGCTCCAAAATCCATGAGCAGGCAGGCCAGCTCTTCACTGGCGGTCCTGGCCACTGCATGAAGTGGGGAATCCTGACCTTTCCCTTGGTTCACGTCCGCTCCTAAACAGTCACAAGAAGAAAAAAGAGTCAGCAAGGAGCAGAATCCAACCATCCCCCTTTTCAAAGCCCTGAGCCCCAAAATTTCCTAACAAGAGGGGATCCATATGGAGCACAGCAATCCTGGAAAAATGGGAGATGATTTGATTCCATTTTATAATGTGGGGAAAATCCCATCTGATAATGTTACTGAATGTATAGCATGAGCTATATAGCACAGAAAGTTAAAAATTTGCCTTTCAGCACTGTACATAGGCATCACGCATATAAGAAAAATCCTAGTGACGTAAAAGCTCCACGTTATTTTTAATGGAACCTAAGTATTAGCCAGTACAGCGTGAGGGAGAGGCTAGATGGTAAAATCCAGCCTACACCAAGCAGCCAAATTCACCTGGTGTGCAGTTGCCACAGGGTGTAAAACTGGGCACTCGGGACTGGTGATTTGGACTCTGAAAAGCAACCAACTCATGGGGGTATCCCCTGGATTGGACTGGCCAATCCCAAGATCACAGGGGAGGTGGCAAAGTTCTCCCCTTCAGGAGTAAGGTGGATTTCTAGGACTGTCCCCACCCAGTTCCACTCCTACACTCTTAACAAATCCCCACCCCAGCCTAGATCCTGGCTTTCACTGTGACATGTGGGAACATGTGGCTTTGCCTGAGCTGCCATCTCTCTGGTAAAATGAAACTCTATGTCCACTCAACAAATGTTAACTGATCTGATCTTGTATCGTTCTTGACTTTGTGAGGGATACCAAACATGGCCCCTTCCAGGCTAGAAGCTTAAAATCTGCCCAGAGTGGCAGAGGTGGGGTGGGCGGTGGGGGAGAGACAGAGACTGCATCTCTTAATTCACAGCAATGCCTGCCAGATGAGTAGGAGGCAATAAGGACTATAACAACATTCATTGGGAAACAGATTACTGAAGCCTTAAAGAATAAACAGGACTCAGATAATTAAAGAGGTGATGAAATGGTGTTCCAGGTGTTGAGAAGGCGGCTGGACAACAGCAGGGAGGTGAAAAGAAATAAGGGTACATAGGCCTTTTCAAGGAAAATATAGTATTTGCAATGGGGCAAGTTCAGTATTTAAACCAAAGAGAACTGGTGAAGGTCCCAAATAGGAAGATTCAACACTAATCCAACAGCTTCACAAGTTATGCAGGGCTTAATAATGTGACTGGCCAAATGTAGGGAGACAGAGGAAAGGGAGGAGAAACCAATAATCATTGAGGACCACCCTGAGAAGAGGCATCATCATCATCATCCTCATCCTCATTAGGAGTGAGAGAACTGAAGTTCAAACAGTGTGAAATAATTCCCCAAGGGAACACAGTCAATATGAACCCTGACCTTGTCCAACTCCATTGCCCACACTAATTTCTCTCCTACAGCAGTAAGACGTTTAAAATACATTTAATTTACTTTTCATTTTCTTTTCTTGTTTTGGTTTGCTTTTTGCTTTACCTGACTCCAGAAGCTTCTTGACACAGGCTCTCTGTTGGTTTTCACAAGCCAAATAGAGTGGAGTGCCCAGGTGGCTGATCTTATGGTCAATGTTGCTCCCATAAGCTATGAGAGAGTCAACACACTCCACGTGGCCTGCAGCCCAAAGCAGGAGAAAAACAGTTACAAGTTCCCTTAGCTAGAAAGACAATGCCATCCCCATTTTGCATTAAATTTGGCAGCAGTTTATCCAGAGGACCAAAAGCAATTTCCTTTAATTAGAATCAGGAGTGATTTTATTTTATTTTGTTTTAGAGACAGAGTCTCGCTCTGTCGCCCAGGCTGGAGTGCAGGGGCGCGATCTCGGCTCACTGCAAGCTCCGCCTCCCGGGTTCACACCATTCTCCTGCCTCAGGCTCCCAAGTAGCTGGCACTACAGGTGCCGGCCACCATGCCCGGCTAATTTTTCTGTATTTTTAGTAAAGACCGAGTTTCACCATGTTGCCCAGGCTGGTCTCAAACTCCTGAGATCAGGCAATCCGCCCACCTAGGCCTCCCAAAGTGCTGGGATTACAGGCATGACCCATCAGGCCCGACCAAATCAGGAGTGATTTTTTTATTTTATTTATTTATTTTGTTTGAGACGGAGTCTGGCTCTGTCGCCCATGCCGGGGTGCAGTGGCGCGATCTCGGCTCACTGCAAGCTCCGCCTTCTGGGTTCACGCCGTTCTCCCGCCTCAGCCTTCTCAGTAGGTGGGACTACAGGCGCCCGCCACCACGCCAGGCTAATTTTTTTCTATTTTTAGTAGAGACGGGGTTTCACCGTGTTAGGCAGGATGGTCTCGATCTCCTGACCTTGTGATCCACCCGCCTCGGCCTTCCAAAGTGCTGGGATTACAGGCGTGAGCCACCGCGCCCGGCCAGGAGTGATTTTAAACACTGCTATCAGTTAATGATTTGACCACAGGATGCAATCTGCAACTACGGGTGAAACTCCATTTGAGTTTACTAGCCATGGTAACCAACCAGCAACCATCCACCTTTTTCAATTGTTTCTGGCTTTGTAGTTAGTCCATATGTAACAAATCTGCACGTTGTGCACATATACCCTAGAACTTAAAGTATAATAATAAAAAATAAATAAATAAATAAATAAAATAAAATAAAATAAAATAAAAAAGTCTAAGCAGACAAATTGAAGTCAGAGTTGGGGAGAGATATGGAGGAACAGGACCTGAAGGTGGACCTCAAGAATAAAGGTCACAGTGTGGGCCACAGGACAGGGAAGGAAATTTACAACCTCTCCAAAGGCAGGCCCGGGAGAAACAGGCCACAGCGGGTATAGGCAAGGCTTAGAAGAAGCTGCCAAATCCAACATGAGCAGGGCCCAACCTGAAAAACTAAGCAAAAGCTGAACCACACTTCCTTGGTCCAGAATGTCATATTTTGGACATTGCTCCTCTACGTTTCTCTTGCTATATTTTAGTTCTATGTATGCAGCAAATATGATGAGTTAGGATGTTCTCAATAAATAAGTATCAACGCTTTGGGAGATCATTATAAGTGGGTTGGTCCAGTCAAATGGGAAGCCATTCTGTGAAAGCCACTGGAGAAACAGAAAGCCCTCTGGCAAGGTATGGTCATTATGATGATGACAAATTTGAGAAAATAAAAACTTGTGATTTTATGAGCTAAGGCTATCAGAAAAAGTATAGCTTTAATGAAAAGAATTATCCCAAACTGTATACAGCATCTTATAGTTTCAAAAATTGAAAGCTTATTTCATTTGGCAAACTTAACTGTCACTGAAACAATGTTCTTTAAGGCCCTGAAATAGAAGAATATAATTTGTTTCATGAAATCACTTGATTTATATAAAGTCACGGGTATAACAACGGATTCCACAAATATTAATGGATAGTCTACTGTGTGCCAAGCCCTGTTCCAGTAATACAGCAGTGAAAAACATTCAAAATGCTCTAAAAGGGAGGCACTCAAACTTCCTGTGCACCAGAAAGCAGCCCAAGGGCTTATTAAACAAAACACAGGTGCTGAGCCCCATGCCCAAAGTTACTGATTCATGGGGCTGGAGTGGGGCTCAAGAATCTGTATTTGCAGCCAGGTCATGCTGATGCTTCCAGTCCTGGGACTCCATTTTGAGAACTACTGCTCTAAAATATACCTCCTTTTCTTTCCTTCTTTCAGCAGTAAGATGCCTTGAAGGAGTGGGTTTTAAAAGAAAATTCTCAACAGATTTACCTCTCCTGGCAGCTTCATGGATGGGGGATGCCAGATCACTCTCAGGTTGAACGCTGGCTCCGTGCTGCAGAAGCAAATTCACACAATCCCGGCTGCCGCTGACACAAGCATTAAACAGTGGAGTGTGCCAGTCTGTTGTCACACCATTCACCTGGAAAAAGAAGCTCCAGGATGAAGACAGGAAGGGGGATGTTTTGGGTTCAAAAGTAGGGTCCACCACTCTGAACATGTTATTTAACTTCTCTGAGCCTTAAATTCCTCAGCTATAAAATGGAGAAAAAAGTACCAAATTCCACAGAGGTTTTTGTGAAAAATGGAATTAGGGAGTGGCTATAAAGCATCAAAAATGTTACTCAATGTTTTATCTCTTCCATGCCCTCCTCAGGAACATGAACTTTGAAACTAGTTAGGATAATTTCAGTCGCTTACAAACTAATCCCTATTTTAAACTTCTTTCCTAGACCCATCCCACACCAGTTCAATTTCTTAACGGGTGCAAGAGGATTACTCTTGCTGCTGTGAGGAAATTGTTGAAATTGTTCACTGTAATTCTTAAAGTATAATTTAGAAAATTTTTAAAAACTTGACTTTCATACACATATAGAATTAACACATACCAAAGATTTTATTCAACTCATTCATTAATGAGGGAACCAGTAAGATGGTAAGGCTGGCTCAAAAAAATATTTGGCCAGTCGCAGTGGCTCACGCCTGTAATCTCAGCACTTTGGAAGGCCGAGGCAGGTGGACTGCCTGAGCTCAGGAGTTCAAGACCAGCCTGGGCAACACGGTGAAACTCAGTCTCCATTAAAATACAAAAAATTAGCCGGGCATGGCAGCATGTGCCTGTAATCCCAGCTACTCAGGAGGCTGAGGCAGGAGAATCACTTGAACCTGGGAGGTGGAGGTTGCAGGGAGCTGAGATCATGCCACTGTACTCCAGCCTGGGCGACAGAGCGAGACTCCGTTTAAAAAAAAAAAAAGAAAAGAAAAACTTATAAAACTTATATAGTCAACGGACTGCTGAAATATATTTGCTAATAGATACAAAACTCAGCCGGGCACGGTGGCTCACACATGTAATCCCAGCACTTTGGGAGGCCAAGGTGGGCAGGTCACCTGAGGTCAGAAGTTCGAGACCAACCTGAGCAACATGATGAAACCCCGTCTCTACTAAAAATACAAAAATGAGCCAAGTGTGGTGGCGTGTGCCTGTAATCCCAGCTACTCAGGAGGCTGAGGCAGGAGAATCACTTGAACCTGGGAGGTGGAGGTTGCAGGGAGCTGAGATCATGCCACTGTACTCCAGCCTGGGCGACAGAGTGAGACTCCATCTCAAAAGTAAAAAAAATAAAAATATAAAAACTGGTTAATGTCCTATAGGGTCATAAAACTATAATCTTTGAGGCTATCTTTTCTGATGTTGGAAATCAGACAAATTTAGAAGTTAATGTCTAACTTCACAGTGTTTGGGCTATAATTACACAGTGAATAGAAAAGCCACGCACAGACACATTCTTGTGTATCATTAAATGATTATTTGGTGACTCTTTTAAGCAATGATATTGTGAAGACAATGAATTCATTCTCAAACTCTACTTCCAAGCAGGGCCAGGACTAGAGTGAGGCACAAAGTTGCCTACGGTAAAAAATTTAAGGACATATTCATTTTTGGAATCACACAAATAGTGCAGGAGCCTGAGAACGAGCACCTCTTTCAAGTTTGTACCCTAGGTGTCTCTTGCTTCACCTTGCCACTTTCCCTGTTTCCAAGTTTTGAATGTTTTCTTAACCCAAATATAAATCTGGCAATGCACTCACCTCTGGCTCTTTACTAATCTTGGGACAAAGCCCGTTCTTTTTTTGGCATGGACAGGGTTGCTTCCGGTTCTGAATCCTCTCACCTACTCTACTCTCCTGCCATAAGGAATGACTTCAAGATACAAAAATTGCTCACGATCACTTCTGGGACTTTGCATTTGCTGTTGCCAGAAGATAGCAAGCCCATAATATCCCCCACCCCACCATCCAGTTACCTAACACCAAACAGGTCCATTTTTGCTGCTCTTGCAATCCCTGCTACCATGTGAACAAGTCCAAGTTGCCAGCCAAAGGGTGAATGACCACATAGATTTTCTGTCTCCTCAGACATCCTAGCCATCCCAGGCAAATGTGTGCTTTCCACAATATTTCATTACCTTCCAGCCATAACAATGAAGACAGAAGTCTAACAACTATTTATTAGTAGTGTATGATAAAGAAAATGATATAGACTGTAAGCACGACTAAAAATTTAGTATTGCATCCACCTATCACTAAAGCAAACAAGTCTGATGAACATAATTTTCTTAAAAAACAACTGTCTTCATATTTCAAATCAGCCTAATCAAAAGTGCTGGAAGCTATTCAGCAGGGATATACATAGTCATTTTTCATTCTTGGTTTCTAAGATGTTGTTTCAGCTGCCCTTACCTGAGCTCCATGCTTTAATAAAATCTTTACACAAGAGGGATGACCTCCGAGACAGGCTTCATGGAGTGGGGAGACATGATCTGCCGTAATGATGTTCACAAGCCACCCCTGAAGGAGGGGAAATAGTCAGAGTAAGGGGTGCAAAGCGACAGTGCCCCGGGGCTGTTTTTCAGCCACCATTCCAGTACTATGACAAAGCTGACCTGGCTCAAAGTCAGATGGTACACTAAGATGTTTATATTGACTTAAAAAAAACCTGCCACACGACTGGTAGGAGTGTAATATGGTATAACCACTCAGGAAAACAGTTTGACTGTATCTATTAGAGCTGACAATGCCTACGCCTATGCCTCAGCAATTTGACTCTTAGATATATATACATCTAGATACATATACAAGAATATTCACAACAGCACTGGTCGTAATAGAAACTGCAAACAAACCAAATGTCCATCAACAATGAACTGAATTAATAAACTTTGGTATAATCTTTCAGCAGAAAGATTACACCCAACAAATTATAATGGCAAGCACTACCAGGGTGATGCTTGCAAAAATAATGTTGAGCAAAAGAAGCAAAATCCAAAAGCATACACACTGAATGATTACATCAATTTAAAGTTCAAAATTAGGCAAAACTACCCCATATTGTTTCAGAAGACATAATATATAAAGTAAAACCATAAAGAAAACAAGGAAATCGGGATAATGGTTAATCCTGTGGAAGAGGGACAGGATTGTGTTCTAGAAAGCATGGTAAGGGGAGAGATGGGTGACTCTTTGGAGGAGCCAGCAATGTGCTATTTTTCCATTTCCTGACCTGGGGAGGCAGTCACATGGCAATACTCTCATCATCATCACTTTTTGTTCAACTGCACACGTGTTTAAGTTCTTTTATGTCTGTTTATGAAATTTCTCAATTTTTTTAAAGTCAGCGTGACCCGAATTGCTAAGTTTTAACAAGCAATTATTAAATTTTAACATATTCACAAGTGTCTCTATCTTGTGGGACAATTAAAAGGAAATTATGAAACTGCAAGGGAAAAGAAATAGACTGCATGTACCTTTTAGGAAGCCTAAATGTACTTTATTTAGGAAATGGAAATGCACCTATTAACTAATATAATTGCTCTTTAAATGTAAGTATTTAGTAGCACATAGGATTTAATAATATTTGTAATAAAAATACCAGTTCCACCCAACTTTTTTTTTCTCAAAAAAACCCTCCTTTTCCTGACATTTAATTTTTTTTCTTAGATTTCCTAGCTCTATCATAGTTTTGACAAGAGGGTCAGTAAACAACAGCCTACAGAGTCAAATCTAGACCACAACCTGCTTCTGTACAGCACAGCAGCTAGGAATGGTTTCTACATTTTTAATGGTTTAAAAGAAATCAAAGGAATATTTTGTGACACATGAAAATTTTATGAAATTCAAATTTCAGCATCCATAAGCAAAGTTTTACCAGAACACAGCCATGCCCATTCATTTACATACTGTCTACAACTGCTTTTCTGCTAAACAGCAGAGTTAGGTACTTCCAACAGAGACTGCATGGTTCACAAAGCCTAAAATATTTACTATCTGGTCCTTTACTGAAAAAAATTTGCCAAATCTTGTCTTGATCAAAGAAAAGAATATGTCATTTCTTACTTTACTATTCGTACCTAAGACTTAAATGTCCAATTGGCAAGAGAAAATACCTTATTTTCTCAGTCATCACACTTACAAAAAGTAGTTTTGTCAATGCCACAAGAGGGGTATGATTGTCACATGAAGCAAAAATCATGCAAGTGTATCAGACACAAGTGGGGGGAAAGACAGGCTGAGGTACAGAACTTGGGCAAAAGGCAACCAATAGGAAACAACCAATAGAAAATGCGCATGCTCCTCCAGCACGACTACCATTTTTAAACCGGCATTTAGACCAGGCACGGTGGCTCATGCCTGTAATCCCAGCACTTTGGGAGACTAAGGCTGATGAATTACCTGAGGTCAGCAGTTCGAGACCAGCCTGACCAACATGGTGAAACCTCGTCTCTACTAAAAATACAAAATTGGCCGGGCGCGGTGGCTCAAGCCTGTAATCCCAGCACTTTGGAGGCGAGACGGGCGGATCACGAGGTCAGGAGATCGAGACCATCCTGGCTAACACAGTGAAACCCTGTCTATATTAAAAAATACAAAAAAACTAGCTGGGCAAGGGTGGCGGGTACCTGTAGTCCCAGCTACTCGGGAGGCTGAGGCAGGAGAATGGCGTGAACCCGGAGCGGAGCTTGCAGTGAGCTGAGATCCGCCACTGCACTCTCAGCCTGGGCGACAAAGCAAGACTCCGTCTCAAAAAAAAAAAAAAAAAAAAAAACGAAATTAGCCGGGCGTGGTGGCACATGCCTGTAGGCCCAGCTACTCGGGAGGCTGAGGCAGAATTGCTTGACCCGGAGAGGCGGAGTTGCAGTGAGCCGAGATCGCGCCACTGCACTCCCGACTGGGGAACAAGAGCGAAACCCTATCTCAAAAATAATAATAATAATAATAATAATAATAATAGTAATAAAACCAGCATTTAGGTGTTTATACATAAATCCAGGTAAATGAAATACAACAACACAGCTATTGGTAACACAAAACAAAAAGTTTTCACCACATACTCACATTACAGAAAGGTTCCTTCTACAAAGTTAGAAACTCATTTATAGTTCATCATCAAGCTACAGTTTTACCTCAGATTAACTGTGGTTTGTCTAAATTATTAACAAGTCTGAGTCATATAATATCATAAGGTAATTAACCCATTACTTCACAGTGTCCAGTCCACAGTCAGTTCTTAGTTTTGAAAAAAAAAAAAATCGAATGGCTTAACTTTAATATATTTTATTTTCAGTCGTCAACTACTCTTAGTTGACAAAATGTACTTCTCTTGATCCTTGAGTTTGGATGTGGTCATGTGACTTGACCAGTGGGATGTTAGCAGATGTGATATGGACAGATTGGAAGTATTCTTGCATGGTTGGGCTTGCCCTGCTGTGCTCCAGCGTTTTGCCAAGAGAAAATAATTCCTCAGGTAGCCAGTGGTCCAAGAAGGATGAAAGAGATGTGCAGCAGGGCTACACCCAACCCACAGCTGGGAGCCAAGCCCAGCCAGGCCCAGCCTTGATGAGCTGACACAAACACACATCAGCAAGAAATAATGGTTACTGTTATCATGTCACTGAGTTTTGGGGTGGTTTGTTATTGAGTTATGGGGTGGACTGACCTAGGTAGGTATCAGAATACTCATTTTATGAAAGCAGAAACTGGGGCTCTAAAAAGACATCTTACACAAATAATGGGATACAACTTGGAGATGGTTCTGGCTGATGTTTCACAAACACATAAATACTGAATGCAAATGAGTACCTGTCCAATTTAACAAGTGATACATAAAAGCTGCAGTGATCATTTTTCGTGCTATCAAAATAGGGTAAATTTCTAATTTTATCTGGGAAGTAGCCTAACTTCTTTTAGCTAGAATTAGTGTTATAATCTATTTATTATAGGCTGCTGCTACCAACAATGGCTTAAGATAGTGGCTTAGAATAGTATGAAATTTTTCTTTAGAAATTATTTTCTTATAGGAGGATTTCTTACTCTAGAAAGGTCTATGAAATTGGATTTTTTAAAGCACATTTATTCTCACTCAGCTCTATCTGAAACTTAGCATATCCTTCAATTCAGAATGTAGACAAAAAACCACAGTAGTAATAGTAGTATGTAGGGTTATCTCCAATAGAAATTACAGATATTTTCTATTGTATTACAATTGTCATAGACAAAAGTATCTCAAAATATATACTCATCCTATTTAGAAATTATAGTAGTTATTAGAATCGCCATGAGGTCTTCTATTTAATGAATTAATTTAAAAGTTCCCATGTTATTATGTCACACATTTGTTTTAATATTTTGATAGGTTTCTTTTGTATTATATTTTCAAAAAGCTACCTGGCTGATGAGGTTCCTCAGAGACAGCTGATGTCCGTAGATTGCAGCTTCATGCATAGGAGACCAATCAGACACAGCATCTGTATGGAAAGGGAGGAATGGGTTATATCCTGCTAATGCACGTAGACCCAGAGGCTTATCCTTGCCCATCAATAAGAGCCTAATAGTCCCTGGATGGAGACATTGGATTCACTCAACCAAAATTCCCATTAGGAATTCAGCATTTCTCTTCTTTATTAATATTTTTTTGTGCACAGTTTGTTTGAACAATGTCTGGAGAGCTTGGGAAAGAACTACAGCCAGTCCTCAAACTAAGGAGAAACGAGGTGGACTGGGATGACAGATTACTGTATTTCTATTTACACACTGGTTTCAAAGGCAAATGGCCCATTTAGTTAAGCGAGAGCTTCACTAATTACCAGCATTAGTGTGTTTAAGCTGTAGCTGCCGGTCTAGTTTCCTGCATGAAATACAGACTTTGGCATCTCAGCAAACAGTGTCCTGTATTAATAGCAGTAATCATGTAATTACATGCACCATTAGGTTTGGAATGAAATCTAAACAGAACCATATCTATTTATAGATTATCTCCTGTCGTAATATTAAGCACAAATCAGTGCTCAGTCTCACCTTGAAACAGGGACATTATTTACCCCCAAACGCAGCATGCCAAGGTGGTTAAAGAAAGCTCTTAATTCAGACCCGCTTCATCTTTTCTGACCTGTGGGTCCCGGGAAAGGCCCAGTGCCCCAGTTTCCTTCTCTGTAAAGTTACAAGTTGAGCATCCCTAATATATAACATGCAGGTTGAGCATCCTTAACCCAAAACTCCCAAATCCAAAATGCTCCAAACTCCAAAGCTTCCTGAGTGCTAACATGATGCCACAAGTGGAAAATTCCACATGTGACATGTGATGGGTTGCAGTCAAAACTTTGTTTCATGCACAAACTTATTTAAAATACCATATAAAATTACCTTCAGGTTATGTGTGTAAGGTGTATATGAAACATAAATGAATTTCGTGTTTAGACTTGAGTACAATCCACAAGGTAAGTCATTATTGTATATGCAAATATTCCAACATCTGAAAAAATTGGAAACGCTTCTGGTCCCAAGGATTTCAGAGAAGGGATGCTCAACCTGTACTTACCATGGCTCAATACATACTAGCTACTATTATTATCCTGCCCTAACACTAAACAGACAGTCTTGATTACACCTCATCATCACTGCTATTTAAAATAGCAAATTTACACCGGGCGCGGTGGCTCCACACCTGCAATCCCAGCACTTTTGGAGGCTGAGGTGGGCGGATCACCTGAGATCAGGAGTTCGAGACCAGCTTGGCCAACATGGTGAAACACCATCTCTACTAAAAATGTAAAAATTAGCTGGGTGTGGTGGCTCACGCCTATAATCCCAGCTACTCGGGAGGCTGAGGCAGGAGAATCGGTTGAACCCGGGAGGTGGAGGTTGCAGTGAGCCGAGGTCATGCCACTGCACTCCAGCCTGGGCAACACAGTGAGACTCTGTCTCAAAAAAATAAAATAAAATAGCCAAATTTATTCTACAACCACATAGAAGGAAAACAAATTCTCAGGAAAGAGGCCTGAAAACCCAATCCCAACCCATTAAATGCTTTCCTCTCTCTTTATAATTGAATATGACCGAGTGAGGCATAGACCTGATCTTTTCTCATCTCAAGCTTCATCTGATTTCCAGTAGAAATGTGAGGGAGGCGTGCCTGAACCTGCTTCAGCTCCAGCTCCACCTGCTTCGGCAAACACACTACATACAAACAAGGTAGAAAGGTCTGGTGCCAGTTATGCCTTGCGTGGTAGCTAATAGCTCCTAAAAGCTGAGAAGACCTGGAGAAGGAGGGTACTTACTGTCTCTACCTTGCAAAATGAAAGGCTATGAAGTATCCTTTATACTTAACACATGTTGGCTTAACACTTTGTACTGAACACACGAGGCCCGTCTGCCACCTGAAGCCATCAGTGCCCTGGAAAATCTGTATTAGTAAGCAAATGACCATTCTTCCAGATGGATTCATTAGGCATTTGGTACATAAAAGGAAGACAAATGAGCCCATCTACATACTGCCCATCCAATGCTTTCCTTCTGGGGTCACTAAGGTGCTTGAGACAAGGTACATCTTAAGTGAAATGGCTTTTCCTACCGTCAAAACCTTACGCTTAATAGATACTCAATGTCCTCACAGCATTCTCTGATGTTCCTAATTATTTCTGGAATAATACTGCTGATTCTAGGGCTTGGAAGCTAAAATTCGGACTGCAGATATGGAAAGATTGATCTCCAAATTAGAATTAAAAGGACAACTAATTCCACCCTGTTGGTGCTGATAATGCCAAATACCATTCACACAAAATCTTGAATGAGAACAAAGAGCCACAAATTGAGAAAGGTTTTGAAAATCAGTTTTCAATAGATTTGCAAATGTATCCTGATGGATCACCACATGTATGATGATTAATCCACTTTTTTTCCAAGTGCTCAGCTGCTAAGAAATACAGCTGCCACATTTCCCAACCTCTCTTAAAGCTCCCTAAGATTACGAGTGTCGACAGCCTAAACAGCCAGGCAGGTAAATTGGGTCCTAATTTGTAAGTGTTTAGATTTCATAAAAATGATGCACTTATCAAGTGTAGCCACAAATGGTCTTACTTTCTACTCATTCATTATGGGACCATTACTCTATTTGGGGCAACTAAAGAAGTACATACTTCTCCAAGAGAACAGGCTATCTGAGTTTGCACCTCTGCAGAATGTAGTGCTTACAGAGCAGAGACAGCTTGTGTCTTTCAGAAGTAGAGTGTTGTCCTGGTACACATAGTGAGGGGCTGACAATGTGAATATCTCTAGCTAGCTATCTAGCAAGCAGCTGTATTGAGATATAATTCGCATACCATACAATACACCCATTTAATGTGTACAATTCAGCAGTTTTCAGTATATTCAGAGCTATGCAACCAATGCCACAATCAATTTTAGAACATTTTCATCACCCCAAAAAGAAACTCTGTGCCCATTTAGCAGTCACTCCACAGTTCTACTTCCCCCAGCCCCTGGCAACCATGGATCTAGTTTCTGTCACTATGGATTTGCCTATTCTGGACATTTCACATAAATGAAACCATACAGTATGTGGTGCTTTGCAACTGGCTGCTTTTATTTAGCATAATGTTTCAAAGTTTCATCCATGTTGTAGCATGCACCAGTACTTCATTCCTTTTTTTTTTTTTGGTCAAATAATTCCATTGTATGGATAAGTCACATTTTATTTATTCATTCATCAGTTGACAGAAATTTGTGTCATTTCTACTTCTTGGCTATTATTAATAATGCTGCTATAAACATTCATGTACAAGTTTTTGAGCAGATGTATGTTTTCAATTCTCCTGCATATACACCTAAAAGAACTGCTGTATGATATGGTAACACAATGTTTGTTTTGAGACTATTTTCCAAAGTGGCTGTACTACATTATATTCCCATCAGCAGTATATGAGCCTTCCCCTTCTAACTTAAAGTCATTTCAGTTCAGGGTTTGTTAGGCCTGTCACGGTACACCTATGCTCCTGCCCAGAAGAAAAACATGAGTCCCTGTAAAACCAAAATCCGTCTCAAATTTAGACAAGGACTTTGACCTCAGCAGGTCTCAGAACAAATGAGTGATTATGTGAAAATGTACAATAGTGACAATGAGTAATTTAACATTTTTCTTTGTGTGTAATGTTTTGTTTGTTTTTCGAGACAGAGTCTCACTTTGTCACCCAGGCTGGAGACAGTGGGGCAATCTTGGCTCACTGCAACCTCCGCCTCCCAGGTTCAAGTGGTTCTCCTGCCTCAGCCTCTCAAGTAACTGGGACTACAGGTGCACACCATCACACTCAGCTGATTTTTGTAATTTTAGTAGAGACAGGGTTTCACCATGTTGGTGAGACTGGTCTCCAACTCCTGACCTCAAGTGATCCATGCGCCTCAGCCTCCCAAAGTGCTGGGATTATAGGCATGAGCCACTGCGCCTGGCCTACTTTAACATTTTTCTAACATTCAGAGAGCATAGATTGTGTGTATGTGTGTGTGTATTAGCAAACACCGTAATTTGCCACATGGATTAGTCCACACACACTCTTTCACTCTGGAAAACACTGAAAAGATAGCTGAGTGAGACATGTCTCTTTAGGGATCCAAATGAGGGTCTGTCTGGTGGACCTGGGAAATGCTTCTTCCTTCATGGTTTTCCAGAGCCCACATCCCAAGCAGGAAACGAGCTGTAGGCTCAACACATGCCCAGTTAAACCCCAAAGCAGTTGCCCTTGCTTTCCTGCTAACTGGCAGCTGGAAAGGGCAGAAAACAAGCAGGAAAGGGGACCTATTTTCCTGCCAGAACATGGACAATTCTCATAGTAGGAGACTGTCCAATTCATGAAGGGGAGACTCAAGGTCACGACATCCTTTTCCACGGACCCCACCCAAGTCTTTGATACTCGAGGGCCATTAGGTGTATGTAACACATTATCCAAGTCCTTGGCGTATATTAAAGGCTCTTTCCCAACACTGGTTCAGCCAAGGTCTATTGGTTTTACTGCCAAAAAAATACATGTGAAATGAGGTCACTGACAATGCCATGGATCCGGTGCTGTGGCTTATGGGTAAAATGGGGCAGGGAGCTCTTGTAATGAAACCACTCCACAAGTCCTCCAAGTAATGCCATTAAACTTATCTTTTAAATTGTACCCTCATCAAACGTGGAGCACATTAGGGAGGCTGCCATTTCATTTTTATTGTAATTTGTGGAACATTTTTTTTTCATTTCTGTTATTTCAAAAGAGATTTAAGATGCACTAATTGGTACATTCTGAAAATAGCTATTACTGATGTTCTGAGAACCCCAGTGAATGCTGGGCAGTAGCATAAATCTACTCATCCTGAGAAACGTTTTGCAAAGTCAAGGAGATTTTGGGTTGCTCTGAGGGGACAGGAGTATTTGCCTTCAGTCTTCAGGACGCAGTAAGGGTGGATTCAGTGGCATGAACCAACCTGCCAGAACCTG